GCTTTATTTAAAAAAAAAAAAAAAAAATTTTGCTTGTTATTTTAACTTAGGAGAAGAGCCTGGAAACAGTGGCTTAAATGAGACCAGTTACACAAGCTGTGTGAGGAAAGTGCTGGGACATGTGAGATGGAGAAATAGCTGAGAAAGAATAATGGTGTCAGGTCTCTGCAGGTCAAAGCCTGGCTTCCCTGGTCTCTTGCTCGTGACTATTGCTAGTCAAGTCCCGCTTTCTTATTGAAATTACTTCTGCTATTTGGTTCAGGTAGCTTCCTTCTGACTCTCCATTGGTTGTTGGCTAGATAAACATCCCATTCGGGGTAGAGCAGTTAAGGTGAATGTATAGCATTTCATCTCCAGCAGTTGTGCTTTTCTCTGCTTTCATGGTGCCTCTTATTCCCTTTTTCATAAGCAGTTACTGAAGGAGGGTTTCTCTTGGCTGCCTCTTCTCCTCCATCCTCATGAGCTTACTCCTAGAGCTCTTGTTTTAGAGGATAAGTGGAAAGTGGCTGGAACAGAAACTGGTGTTTCTTCACTGTAATGGTTATGTTGAAGACTGAGGCCGTGGGATCACGCTAGCACCCTAGAGCATGTTTTGCTCTTCATAGGTCAAATATTGCAGCTGTGTGAGACGGTGCTGACCGAGTGTGAACTTTAACAGTTTAACGTGGTATTGGCCAGCTTTATGCTGGATCGAGTGTCATCTTCCGTAGTCAGTGTATCACAGGGAAATTGAGCAGAAAAACAGTTGTATGGCCATGGCTGATCCAGATGAAACCTGTACCTCCCAATGTTACAGAATTAAAGATCATGGAACTGTAATTTGGAGTTTTGCCTTGGGAATGACAAATAGTGACAAAGGAACTTGTGTCCTTCCTGGTGCCCAAATTCTGCACTGCAGAATTCTCTAACGTAGGTTGAATCTGCAAGATCCACTGAGTCGTCAGCTCTTCTGCAAGCTGATTAGGGAGCCAGCACAGAATGCGTTGTGAGCCGCATGCTGGCGCTTTTGAAACTGAACAATGACTTCACCTAGGATGCGTTCAGTCTTTAACACTGCTGTGCACTTCTGCATTTCAGCTTGTTCCCCAGCTTGTGTTCTTGGTTTGTTCTGAGCAAAGGACAGGTTTTTTGTAACTGTCTCGCGTGACAAGATTGCTGACTTGTAGTGAACCATGGCAGTAGCAAAACAAAATATTAATTACTCTCTGCAGGCAGAAATGCCTTCTCCTTGTGTTACTCCTAAAATACCAAGACTCCTGTCCCATGCAGAGCAGAGACTGTGTGGGAATTGGGGAGGAGATGGCGTGCTGGGAGTAAGCATGTATGTGTGCTTTTCCCCTTTGTTGGGTAGAACATGATGTTTGCGTAGGGGCAGCTGGTAGCTGGAGCCTGCATAGAGGTGCTTTTGTCCGCTCTTGGGTAGTGGTGATGTTGAAAGCAAACCTGAGCTGCTAATTTGTGGATTTAAGCCCTGCTTTTAAGTATGCAGATAGTGACCAGGGATTTATGCCACTGCTGAGTACTCTCAATCCTGTTTTTGTTTTCATATGCAACAGTCAGAGCTAGTTGTTCATATAGCAATTTCAGCAACTCCTGTTGCTTGTCAGAAATGGCTTCAGAACTGGTTGCTACTTACCTGCAACAGTTTTTGGCAGTGGTGGCTGTTCTGAGTCATCAAAATAAATTGCTTTGTCTCTTGATCTGTTATCAGAAGGTGACTCTTAGAGGAAAATTGGCTACACAAGCCCCTTTAGCTTTATGGAGCTGAGGGGTTAAATCCGAAGAGTTACAAGGGGTGTTTAACCCACCTCTACCCAAGGGTGCCTACGCCTAGCTACTGAATTGTTTGCTAAGGATCCAGTTTACTGCTGCAGGTGTACCTCCCAACCTCTGCAGATTTTTTTTAAAAAAAAAAAAAAAAAAGCTTCAGGAGATCACAAGTCTGTTTGCTAGAAGAAATTAGACAAATGATTGGAAGCAATCAAGCTACCAAGGCTTAATGAGTTGATGCTCATCAGCTGAGCTGCAATGATGATCCTTTCTCCTAGTCTACCCAATTTCAGATGAAAGTTGTGGGGGTGACTTTATTTCTAATTTGAGGTGAGGTGACTCAGCTGAGAAAGGGGAACGTGATCATGTTGGTGCTTTTTCCCTAAGCAAAAATCAAAATTATTTGTACTCTCTGTGTGTGGTATGAAAGCATGGTCAGACCTAGTAAAATATTGCAGGTGTTCTTTGAGTTGAAGCTGATACCTTTTGACTAGTAGATCTGCTGTGGAGCTCAGATATTGATTCAGTGCTTAACCCCAAGACAAAGCATCTGAATAGCAGAGGGAAGAAATGGAGGCGCCAGAACTATTCTGCCTCTTTGTCTGCTCCTTTTCATAGTTGGTGCATTAACCAATGTGCCTGACTGTTGATGTGTGTTTGGTCATCCCTTCTTGCCTGGGTAAGATGTGTATACAGTGATGAGTGTCTCTGGTTTGCATTATTGGGTATGGATAAACATGAGTTTTTAGAAGACCGAGCAACACAAAACCTGCCCTTTACTTGAGGTATTTGAAAGGGTGTTGAGTACAGCTGGCATGTAGGTGTACGGGAGTAGCTAAGAACCTCCCTAGAGAACTCATATTTCTGATTCTTGGGGCTATATCGAGGCATGTGACTCTAGAACATAAAACTCTAGTCATGTTAATATTGATTTTCATAGAGATAAATATAGCAACTGAGCTATACATACCTACTTGAAAAGTGCTTTTCCACTGTTGAGTTCCCTCACCGCTGAGTGAGGGGGCTAACCTTCGGCTGATGATCGCATTGCCCTAGGTATACTATAGGAGAGGAAGAATGACTCAGCTGTCACGTATTCAGAAGCAGGCATTCTGGTTTTTCTCTGGTTAGGCTTCTTCTGGGTTTTGACTATCTTTTGTGCGATGACAGACCTGCTAAGTATTTATTGTTGGTGCTGATATTCTGCCTACTACTTGGCTTGCTTATCCTAGCAACCAAGGCAGGTGGGTCTGGCACATGAAGCTGAAAATAGTTGTGCTGCCTTTAAAAATCTAGAGATATGAAAATAGATTGAATGCAGTTCCCCTGCAGACAAAGTCTTATGCCTTGCTTTTGGGAGAATTTGTGTGTGATTATATTCTTCAGGTGTGAGTGGCTGGGAAGACTACTCATCTACTGCTTTTGTGATTTGCTAGGATTGAATAATACTCAAATATTGCCACTGCTAGGTAGTGTAAGGTAGTCTTGTCAGTTTGGGTTCCTCAGATACTATGTTGCATACAGAACAAAGCGGTATGGTTTAGTGATATGTTGAAACATAATGCATCAATTTAAACACCAAGTGTCAGAGATTAAATCGCTCTGATGCATGTTGAAATGAAAGCAGCATTATACACTTTGAGTTTTGGAGGAAGAGAACTCTTTAGTTAAAGTATCCAAAATGCTACCTGAGTACTTGCTGGAACGTGGATGTTACTGCTTGTTTTTGGATGTTAGAGGCTATTGCATGTAGTGCTTATTTTAACAAATAATTTTAGAAAGCTTGATTAAAAATTGATCTCTGTACCCGTGTGGGATGTGGGAGGCGATTAAAAACACTTTGGCAATCTGGAAGTGGGCTGAAGGAGGCTTTAGGTTTCCCACTCTGGTGGAGTTCTGACTCCAAAAGTTACGCTTTAAAAGCCTCGCTGGCTGTCTCTCTTCCTCTTACCGAAACACAGTCGAGTAGACAAATACTCGGGTATTTTGGTTTGATTCCGGACCCTGTCCTTGGATTATAGATTTATGATTGATTTAGAAATGCAGGCTATAAGCCAGGGCGTGGGTTAGTATGAAATGCTGACAAAGCACAGTCAATCTTGGGCTTGGGATCAGCGAGGAAAACTGATGGATACTGCAGTACAGTGTCATTTTGGAAGTAAGATGTGAAAGAGACTCTGTCGCTGATACTCAGCTCACATGGTGCTTCCTGAAATGTATGGTATGCAGTTAGTGTGTTTGCAGGCCCAGTGTTGTACCAATGCAAATACATGCTTGACCACTGAAATGTAGATCCGACTTGTCCCTGTGCAGCAGAAGGGGAAATCTTTAGCAGAGTTACTGTAAGGCTGAGCAAGCCTGAAACTAGAGTTCAGTGTTGCGGCCTCCCTCTTAGTATGCTTGGAACATTATCCCTTGTGCAGCATGTTGGTGATGTATTAGATGTGATCTGCATTCTGTAGTTTTGAGCCTATTGATAACACTTAAAAAAGTAGTCTGCAAGTGATCTTCAAATCACTGAAACAGCTTGATGATAGACTACTTCTGGAAGGATGTCACCTGGTTAACTGGCCAGTAATCACTGGAGATGCGTGCAGCAGTACCTCTCCACAAGTCCTAGTGCCCCCGCAGCTCTGCGTGAACTGGTGGAGAGTATGTAGTGATGGCTCAGCTGTACCTTTTGTTACCAGTGCTAGCTCTTTGCCAGCAAGCACTCTTGCAGAAGCTGGATTAGGAGCAGTGCTGTGACTTTAGCCATGCTCTTATTGATGACCTGTGCTACCTGCGTGTACCTGGGGGCTACTGAGTGCGGCAAGAGCCATAATCAGCCTCTCAGTGTCTGTGTGACTGGTGAGGACCCTGCTATTTCTGATTTACAGCTAAGGATTCCTTTCCTTGCTTTCTTTAAGGCAAGTACTTTCTGCAATGAATTTGGCACCAAAGCCAGCTCCCTGGCTGGCTAAGACTTCTCATACTGTGCAGTATCTTGCTTAAAATCTTCCAGGCCAAACAGGATCTCCATGGATCACTGGAGTATCTCCTGCAGAAAACATGCAGGCTAAAATATAGCGCAGTGGTGTGATGCGCTCTGTGCCTTTTATCTTCTCCAGTACCTAGGCTGGGTGTGGGTGGGCAGTGATATGTGGTACAGAGGGAGGAAAAGGGAGACTTAATGACAAAAATTGATGAACAAGTCAGAACGTCTGCATCCTTTCTGATACGTCTCCTGGCTTATAGCACAATCGTGAATAGGTTGTTTAATTACTGTGTTTCAGATCTGTAAATTGGATTTTGCAAATGTGCCAAGAGGGTTAACTCTGTGTGAGGAAGTACTTCAGCATCCTCTGCTGAAAATCTCTTCAGCCCTGAGGGGTGAAATACTGTGCATTTCTATTTTTCATGTTGTTATTTCTAACTAAGTGTCATCTGAGGTCACTAAATCTAGTCTCTCTCTTTCTTTTCCTCTAGCTGAAGCTTGAAGATCGCTCTGTAGTCCCTCGAGATGTGGTCAGACACATGAGCTCCAGTGTAAGTGCTTTTCTTTTTCTCTTTTTGATTATGATACCGCTGTATGGATTTCTAGGACCTGCCAAATTGCCTGGAATGGAGTTGAACAGTAATGTTTTGAGCACATTCTATTTTTAGCATTTTTAATAGATCTAGCTGCATCCTTTGAAAATGAAATGCTGATAAGGCTGCCTTGCTGCTGGTACATGTCTGCAAGACATGAAGGTCTCCTGAGCAAGCGAACCTGATAATGTCAGGTAATGAGACGAGCTTGCCCATCCTATCATCCTTGAAGTTTTAAGCCAAGCCAGTCCACGCTGTAGGGAACCTGCTCCCTCTGCCCTGAGAGAGGCTGGTGTGAAGGCAGGTCACTTGACTCTGTGCCTTTTGGTGTGCTGTGGGCAGTGTTATTTGGAAGAAGTATTTTCAGGGAGACCTCTCAAAACCTGCAGTAAGCAGAGTCTTGTCCAACTCTTCCCAGAAGAGATGCAGCAAATCCCAACACTACTGACGCAAGATGCGCTGAAGCATCTGACACAGCTAGGTCAGCCTAAAGCAAGCTGAGTCTTAACCAGCAGCCTATAATTGTTCCCATTACTCTCTCTGGTTAGTATTTTAAGTTTTAGTCATTCCGTTCTAATTGTACAGCATATGAGCTTATTGGAGATGTGTGGATTTGACTTTAGTGAAGGGAATACTGAGAGCATCGTTTGGTATCGATCATCAAATGAGACGTGCTCTCTTTAGGAGTTTAGCTAGGTTGGCAATTTCTTGCTGTTGCTAACACCTAACCTATAACCCTGAGCCATATGGCCTGCCATGTGTACACTTGTATCTTCTCTTGACTGGCTTCCAGCACTGTAGCTACTGAGGTGGTGATGAAGTAGGCAGCTGGCCACTAACTGATGCGGTTGCACCACATGGTGTGCAGCCTGGTGCAGGGATGGGGAAGGCCATTCTCCAACCTGGGTGGTTTTTCAAATAAAATCACTTGTGCTTTTAAAAAAAAAAAAGTCAACCTATCCTTTTGCATGGAAGAATCTTCCAAACAAAAGGAAAGGGAGAAATACTTAAAGGGTAATTCAAAAAAATGCTGAAACAAAGCATTTCCTTAAACTTAATTCTTGCATTTGAAATGGAAATTTTGAGTCAACGCTTTTTACTAAAACTGTAGCTTTATGAATGTGTTTCAATCCAAAACAAATTGCTGCTAGCAAAGTGAAATATCAGCTGTTCACACAGTTGTACCTGGCACAGCTGGATACTAGCATATCCTCCTTGCTTGGAGGGATGCTTTCTGATGAGTCCTGCCTCTTAATTGTTTATTCACCGATGCTTTTTTTTATTGTCCTGAAAGCTTAAGATGATTTTGAGTTATTCTCCTCTTGGCAAATATGGATGTGCTGCTTTTGTTTTCAATTTCCATACTTGTCTGAGCAGAAATTGTCTTCTCTGGCTTACTGCATGTATTTCAGGAGACACCATAATGTGTTCCAGCAGCTGTTTTGCACGCTCATTTATTGTCCATTTGCATGTTTAAGCACTGACATTTGCTTAACCATTGTACTAGTGGCCGATAATTTTTTAATGATGGAATGGGGGACTTGAAGCTCAGTTTCGTCTCTCTTCTCTGTTCAAAAATACAGGAAACATGAACATTACTTATAGTTCACCTTACCCTCAAGTATATCTTAAATGCCAGTGGTAAAAAAGGCACTAAACCCCTTCTGTCCAAAAGAAAACTTACTCAACTAGATGTAGACCAAAAATTACAAAAGCATTTGAAATATAAAATCTGGGAGTGACTGTGTGCCAGATTCAGAATGTGGGACGGTTGCCCTGTACCAGTTGGCCTGGCAAATGCACAATGTGGAACTTATTCTGTATTCACCACACTCTCTTAGGGCTGTTTTTAACCTTGAGAGGGAAGGACTTGAAATCCTCTGTTTCTCAAGAGAAGAGAACTGACTCAAGTTTGTGTGCTTCTCATCTACTGTTGTGTGGGGGGAAGGAGGGCTAGTGCTTCAATGGGCAACCTATGAATCGAAATCTTTTTTTCTGAATGCTTTTGGGCCCAGAAGTCTGTTCCAGTTAGATGAGAAATGGTGGAGGTAGCAGACGTCATTTTTGCAGGTGGTGTGCTAGTTTGCAGAGCAGGTTAGAAGCAGGTCTGTAATCTGTCAGGCGCCTGCCTTCTGCTGCTTCAAAGGATACTGGGCAGTGTTGTCCCTTTTAAATAAAGGAATAAGAGGGTGGCATGAAGATCCCCTTATAGAAAAAGGAGCAGGGGGGGGGGGGGGAAATAGAAGGGCAGGAGGTAGAAGAGGCAGGGTTGAAGCCTACACTTGCTGAGTTGCTGTTCTCAGACTGGAGTTTACTGGCCTGCCTTAAAGCATCGTCTGTGATGGGAAAGAAATTGAGTCCATAGCTGAGCTCTGGTATGGAGTCCTCTCCATACCAGAAGCAGGAAGAATATCTAGGGAGCACTAGACAATTTTGCACTAGCAATTTTGGTGTGAACGGGACTTGAATTCGTTAGCCCTTCTAATGAGCATGCAGTCCACACCAAGATGAGTCACCTCCCTAGTTTTCTAGTGTTGCTGGTGGGATTGAGAACTGACTTTTATAACTGAACTGTGAAATGTCAGCTTGTTTCATTTGGTGCTGCTCTTTCCTTTTTTGGAGCATCTCGTTAAGTCGCATAGGACAATTCTCTCTGAGCTGGCTGGGGGAGAGCAGTGCTCTGCCTGTGGACCCGGACTGGAACACAACAGACAAGTCGGCTTGATTGGGACTGCATTGCTGAGCCTTGCTATAATCTTGTGGTATGATTCAGCAGAACGCCTCAGCCTGCAAATCTGCCTTCCCTGTCTCAGGCTGTTTCATATGACAGTAAAATAACCTCACAATAACCAAAGGTTTAGTGGCAGGTGAGGGAAGAGCTGTGATTCAGCAGCCTTGCAGCCTTCTAAGGCTGTGTGCAACATTGGTCTCCACTTTCTGTGCCTAACAATCACATACAGCACTCTGTTCTCTCTCAAGGTTTTGAGTAAGTGGAAGGAGGTGCAAGCTGAACTAAAAGCAGCGCTCTTCTCTGTGACTAGATAAGAGCCAGTTGGATGAAGTGGGATCTGTGGGTACCAGACACTGGGGTTCTGACATGGTTCTGGTTTAGTCTCTTCTGTGTTGATGGTGACAGGGCTTTTACAAAGCACCAGGCTTCCCATGGTAACTTAAACTGACTTTAGCAGGGTGAGAGATCTCGAATCCCAGAGCAGCAGTGGCTTTCTTCAGACTCGGTCTGCAGGGAGTCTGTACCCAGGGAAGGCTTTGGTAGGTTAGGAGCACAGGGGACCCTCCTTAGTCCATCCTTAGTGGAATTCCTGTTTACAGTGGGATGCTGCAGTGTGGAAGGAGAACTGTACAATGTGATCTTTACCACCAATTTCCGTAACCTCTTGATGACAATACAGCTTTTTCAACAGACTTGGCTAGGCTGTTCTGCTGCTAACTCTGGTGCCTCTTGGGACTCTCGCAAAGTAGACTGTGCATTTAGCTGTCCTCGCCAAGCTATCTCCATAGTCCTATGGGCTGTGAGATCGCTGGGGATGAGCAGCCAGGGAGTCTGGGCTCGCAGTATGCCGACAGGCTTGCGGGGTGGTGCAAGGCATCCTTCTGTACTCTACAGGGGCTTCTTCAGCAATTTTTAATGTGATGTGATGTCTTGGGAAACTGGTCTGTTCGTGGAAAAGTGCCTCTATCTGATAGAGTGATCACTGGAGAGTTCTCCGAGCTGCTTATGACTGAGTTGGGGTAGTTTTGGCACATCAAGGGAAACTGTCGATGAGATTAGGATTGTATTAGTATACACCAGTCATCCCAGTTCTGGTGATATTACTTTCACCTTTACCATTGGTAAAAGGGGGTGGTAGACCCGGAGACCAGAAGATCCACCGAAACCACAGGTATTGGAAGGCATTGTCCCGGAACTGCTGTCACGCTGGCTGCTGATAAAGGAAGAATAAATTCTGAAATGCTCAGTGCAGGGCAAGGGATTTGTTTCTTGGGGGGGGGGGTTTGGTCTCTGACTGCTGAACAATTTAAAACACTGAGCTGAAACTGAAAAGTGTGGGCAAGAGATGGATTGGTTATATTTAATCTAACTTCATCTGGAGGAAGAACAGGGTAAATGACTGAGCTTTGGCCTTCAGAAGCTTGGGGGTTTCAGTTCAGCATTCAGTTCAGCAGGTGCAACTTCTGAGCAGGGCTTGAGCTATGGTAGCAGCAGCTGGCTGGAGACAGACATAGTCCTAACAAACCGTTTTCAGGGGTCTCCAAAGCTGGGAGTTGATACTACAGCTCTGTTGCAGCTCTCTTATGGAAGTCCCTGCTTGGCTACTAGCTAAGCTAGGCTTAGCTGCATTGTGGCAGGCAGCAGCTATATCTGGGAAAGACTCCCTTTGGTTCCCAGCCTTTGCAGAAAGCACTGGCAGTCATCTGTGAAGCAGCTGGAGGGAATAACCCCTATGGCCTTGGGCTCTGTCAGCCCAGCTCTTAGCCCTCTTGGCTGTGTTGCTGGGTAACGCTGGCACAGCTATGCATGGATAATGCTCAAGGACACGAAGGTACTGGCATGCTGGGCAGCCCTGCTCTCTCCCCCGCCTGCAGGGACTGTGCACGTGAGCTTCTCTGTGTTGTATTTGCTCCTCAGGAGCCACGGGGGCTGGGGAACATGGGGTTTCTTGGCAGTGCTCGGAAGGGGACTTGCAGCAGGCAAATGGAAGGCAAGCTGGACAAATGTGCTGAGCAATCTGTCCAGGAATTGTGCTGGACTGCGTGTGTCTCTGCAGGACGTCTTTGCTATAACTACCTGTCTCCAAGATCAGACAGGATGAGCTGAGCACCTGCAAACTCATAAACTCCCTAAAGGCCTGCCCAGGGCTCTGAGTGAAAGGCTTGATAAATATTTAACGTGGTTGAAAAAGCAGCGTATTTATAAGTGGACTGAACAAACAAATCCACTGCTCACTGTATGTTGGCCCTCTGAGTACGCATGCCTGAGTTCTGCTGGGCAGAGACCTTGATGTTTTGAGATAAGGGCAGCTTCAGAAGCTGCTGATACTAGGGCATTTGCTGTGCTGTCCCTCAGTCAGCTTTTCTAATGGACTGTGATCTTTAATAAACAGAAGTATCGATCCTCCCAGCTGCGAGGAGGCCAGGGCAGCTGCCACATTTGACAGTGTTTGGGTTAGCAGCCCTTCCTTGCAGGCCTCTGCCATATGCATAGGCAATGTGTGTATTGTGTGCTCCCTGCCAAAGCAGCCCCAGAAGGCTCTTGACAGCATGCGTTATTTTCTTGGGGACAAAAAAGATAACTTTGCTAACAAGTGAGGGAGATAATGACAACCGTCTTTTAATTGGACCAATTGTAAATTATCTGACTTGAAACCTTGAAATCTGATGAAAGGTGCCAGATTTTTTTTCTTAGCCTGGCAGCAAGGGAAGACCATGTATAATGTCCTGCAGAATCAAGTTTTAAATGAAAAGGCCTAGGTAGCTTTTATGAATTTCTCTTGTGTTCTGGAGTCGATGATCTGTCCCTGCCCTGGCCAATTCATGGCAGTACCTGCAAGACAGTTCTATGGAGCTGCAGAGATTTGCTCTGTTGAACAGGTCAAGGGGCCAGGAATTTTAAAGGAAGCAAATGCTAATCACCTGATATAGCATCATCTTATTTGAACAGATGCAGGAGTCTCTGGGCTGCTGTATCAACCACCATTGCAGTAAGGTTAGCTGGGAAGAAAATGTTCTGGGTCTTTAACAGTGATCTTCATCTTTGAGCTGTGTTATGTGATGTGATGTGCTCCTTCAGTGCAAGGAAATTAGAAACGTTTTGGAATGTCTTCTGCTTGTATAAGACTTCTGAATGATTTTGGGGGGGGGGAGTTACTCTTGAGACTTGTCTCTGTACCTCCCCTCTGTACCCAGAACATGTATTTGTGTATGTAGAACCTTCCTTAGGTGATAAACCCTTGTTCTCCTTTTTGTTTCCAGGACAGCCAGTGTGGGACTGTAATTGATGTCAACATAGAGTGTGCTGTGAAGCTGGTAGGAACCAACTGTATCCTCTACCCTGTCAACAGCAAAGACCTGCAACATATCTGGGTGAGAACGGAGCCAAAATATGCATGAGAACTAGAGCCTGGTTATTTGGAGGGATGCTGCTGTATTCTAAATACAATGCACAAGGGAAGCGTGTGTATTGTGCAGAGTGCATCTAGAACGTGGTTTTATTCTAAACTTGGCAAAAATATCCTCCCTGGAAGAGAAATAAGCAACATCCGAGCTTCTCCTGATCTGTTCCATGTTTCTGATCACACTGTTGAGACCAATTAGACTTGGAGGCTAGGTTGGCATTAAATCTTGTGAGAAAGCTTCTGTGTTGAGATTAGCTGGTTGACCTGACTGTCACAGCCCTGTATGAACAGTACAATAGTTTTGAGCTGCAATACTGTTAAGGTATCAACAGGTTATAAAAATGTAGATAAGAGTCAAGCATCTTTCTATCCAGCTGGAGCAATCTGAGACGCATCTAGTTCTCCCTCTTGAGTGGGTGGGGGTGACTTCCAGATATCAAGTAGGATAGGATTTTCATTTTTTCCTCCAAGAAAACATGCTGGGAGAGAACAGGAATGCTACAGGCCTTTCTCCAGAAATAGCCTGTACCCAGGCTCAGTGATTTCTTTTTTTTTTTTTAATCAATGTTGTCTGAAGGCATGTGCAAGCATGCCTCTACTTTGCAGAGTACCTTTTGAACAGAATAAGCCACTTGACTCAGCAATTTTTAAGATCCGAGGAGAAATTTGGAAAGCCAGAGCTGTTTGCCTGGAGAATCCAGGCTATGTTCTTACTGCAAAACAAACACTCTTCCATGTACCTTAATTCCAGCTTGCAGCAAGGTCTATGGTTTCAGTCCTAAATCCTTTTGAGACTGCTATTCAGGCTGCGTTGAGTGAGGACTGACTTGACAGAAAGGATAAGAGTTGCTGTTTATAACACTTGTTTCCTATTTTGTTCATAGCCATTCATGTATGGTGATTACATAGCCTATGACTGCTGGCTGGGCAAGGTCTATGATTTGAAGAACCAAGTCATCCTCAAGCTTTCCAATGGAGCCAGGTACTTCTCTCCTTTCTGTTGAAGCTTGCCCCCCTTTCTCTTGGGTTTTGTCATCCTGGTTTAGGACAGCTAGAAACAGGCTTGGCTTCTCATTCACATGCTGGCAAGTCATCTGCTTGCGTTATTTTCAGTTGTAGAGTAAGAAGGGGTGTCTTTCTCTGAGACCATCAAGGTTCATTGGTCGCTTTCTGAAAAAAGTGTCTGAAAGGTGACTGTTTATGTTTTTTTAATACCAGCAGATCGGTTCTCCAGAACTAAGGTACTTTGATTTTAAAAATACTTCTGCTCTGTAAAAGTGACTGTTTAAGATGAATCACATCTACTCCAGACGTTTTCTCAGTAGGGGAGAGCACCTTCACTGAGATACAGGGAGGGAGGATTCTTACCTTAAAACAGCTGTGGAAGCATGGAAACTCAGCAGGCTAGCAGTTTTTTGGAGACCAGAAAGCAACTCAAGGTTAAACTTGAGCTGTTAAGACCAGCATTGTTTTATCTTCACTGTTGTTTGTAACTGTATTAGGAATATCTTTTTCAGTGAAGACCTAATCCTAAGTCATACCCCTAGAGAGATTTAAGCAGAGATATTTTTTAAAAATCTGGTTAATTTATTTTGTAGTCCTGCAAAGCCAAGAGAAGGATCTGAATTCTGATCCTTGTGCATGTCAGACAGTTGCTTGGAAAACTAAAACTCTCTGAACTCAGTAAGTTCACTCTGTTACTGAGGTCTATCTTGTCCAACAAACTTTATTATTGATGCAAGGGAAGGAAGGAGCCAATGGAGGGCCAAGAAGCTTATAGGCCTGACAGCTGGGGAATAACCCATCTGTCTTGTAAATTAATTGAGTGTTGACATTGATGATTCAAAAAAAAAAAAAAAAAAAAAAAACCCTGCAGCCAGCTCTGAGCCTCTTTCTAAGATTCTAAGAGAACTGAGTAATGTCAGAGCTATAAGAAATGTTTGGTGGATGCACCTATGGTTTTGATTGTTTTAGCTTTTGGTTATCTTGGGCTGTGGAAGACACTTCAGCATATGTTAAATTGGAAGTAAAAAAATGGCTACGCTTCTCTGTATTGCCTGCAGTTACTGGTGCAATTTAAAACCTTGCTTGGTTTCTTTTACCATCTCATGCGTAGCTATGTAAAATGAGGTTACTGTTTCAAATAAATCATTTTTTATTGATCAAAATCTTCCCAATAAATCATTTGAAATCCCACCAGAACTCACTCTGGAAATGAAGCTATTGCTGAAGCAAGTACACCTAAATTGCCTTTAGGTTACAGTGTTGGTATGAGTCACAAATGGGACCTTTGCAGCAGACAAATGCTGCTTAATGCCTTACGTATTAGATTTTTTTTTTTTTCTTTTTCCATGCTGAATGGCACCTTTTAACAGAGCCAGTATTGATATAGCTTGTGTCTATAACCGGTTATGTTGTACTCTGATCTATAAAGATCCAGCAATATACTGCTGGGCATATGTAGAAGCGTGCTCAGGCAGTGGCAGTTATTCTGGTGCTGTTTGCTCTAGGGGCGGATGGCTCTGGAAATGTGTCCATGTCTCCTGTCTGTTTTCCAGGTGTTCTATGAGCACAGAAGATGGATCCAAGCTATATGATGTTTGCCCTCATGTCAGCGACTCGGTGAGCTTCTGGTTCTCCTGAGAGTCTTTTTGATCAACTTTATCTTGTGGGCTTTTTGTGCAGGAGGGAAGGGGAAGGCAAAACTATGGCCATCTATTAGTCCTAAAAATTAAATGATACATTGTAGCTGAAAAACACTTTTACTTTTGAGAGAAGATCTGGTAGTGTAACGGGATGTAGCTTAAAGGTAATGTTAGTAATGAGCGGGTTTTCAGGAGGTGTTACAGTTAGTATATCCAGCTGCTTCCTTTGCAAACAAGTTGCATAACATGTAGTCAGATCAGATGGCTGGTGTCAAGATAGTTTACTGCCTGCTCAGTACATCTGTACATGCTTGAAAAGGCTCTTATTTCATTTAACACTTTCAAAAGGGCTCCCCTTCTGGAAAAGGGCCTTTTATTTAAAAGGTGTTCTGCTAGAAACAGATTTCTAGATAATGTAAAATAGACAGTCTCTTGCTATTCCGGTCGATTGCATTCTCTGAATGGAGACCTGCCTCCTTTCTGTTATTTACCAAATCATGTGGTAGGGCAAGTTTTGCTAGCCTTTGGCCCAAGACCAAGGAGTTCCCTGTGTAATGATGGAATGTAAACTTTCTCGCCTTCAAAAGCTGACCACAGCTTGCTTATTCTTCCAAATGGCATCAGCAGGGCCTCACTGGGTATTGTTCTTAGCAGCTTTAGTGGGAGTTGGCTGAGAGGATGGCATATAATTCTTAAATTAACCATATAGTCGGTCATCATCCTTCCCAACCTTCATAGCAAATGTTCTTTTGATCTCAAACTGCATTTCCACTAAAATTTGGTGCCTATCTCTTGAGGAGTAAATGGAATATCAGTTTAATATGATGTGCTGCTGTGGGTTTTTGTTTTTTGAGGTTTTTTTCCTGTTCTATACAGAAAAGGTGTGGTCTGTTGCTAGATGTTCTCTAGTATTTTAGTCTCTGCTATTGAGAGTTTTGCAGCATGTTTTCCCCATCCTAAATCCATGTTGTTGCAGCATCCAGCTTTTGGGTACCCAATTTTGAGATGCACCTTTTTTGAGTCAGGCCACTTTTAAGGCATGTCTAGTCATCTAGAGACTTGCACTTTGGTTTTAAATGCGAGTTGTCTCCTTTGTTATTCTTGATCCTTTGCTTAGAATTGTTGGGTATGTGGTAGATGCTTACCTGATCTAGATCTCGTCACACTACTGTTATCCTTTCTGACAAATTACAAGACTTACACTTTTGTACTCAGTATTTTATCTACCGTAAGCTGCTCTGTCCACCCCCACCTTCTAAATCTTTGACTTGTCAAGCCACTCTAAATAGTGGAGAAGAATTCTAGGAGAGTAACTGTTCTGTTTACGGTCCTGTTTTAATTTTCAAAGGGATGTCATATTAACTAACCTTATCGAAGACAGGAATAATACCTACAAACTTAATTTGGCAAGAGGAGAAAGGAAGGCAGGGATTCTCTGGCTTTCTGAGAGCTGTAGGTGCTTGAAATAGAGCAGGAGAAAGAAATTGGGTGTCCTTTCCCAGGACTCAGCCTGCTCCGAGTACCTTGTTACTGAGAACATTTGTGTGAAATCTCTCTTCTGTTTCTGGGGGGTACCTTTGCTTCTCCCCCACTGAGTCATAATTTTGTATGACTGTGAGACAGAGTAGGTTGCCATAGAAACTGTTAGGTTGAGTTCAGGAGAGGAATGAGCCTTAAGAGAAGAGCAACTTGCAGACAAGACTTCTCATTGACAGTTAATCTTACTGATCACGAATGGGGAAAGAGAGATGCTGGAATCCCAAATCTTAAGGGCAAAAGCCCTTTACACTGCTTTTTCTTCTCCCTCTCCCCCACAGGGTCTTTTCTTTGATGATTCATATGGCTTTTATCCTGGACAAGTCCTCATCGGGCCTTCTAAAGTCTTTTCCAGTGTGCAGTGGCTCTCGGGTGTGAAGCCTGTTCTGAGCACAAAAAGCAAGTTCAGAGTGGTGGTGGAAGAGGTAAGGATCGACAAGCTGATGCACAGTCGCTTTCTGCACAGAGTGGTTCCCTAGCTGGCGTTTTGGAGCCGAGTCAGCTTGCCATGGTAACCTTCCAAGAGCAAATGCACTGTGGCTCTGTTCTTCTGATGTGATAAATTCCTCATTGTGGACTGACGGGACTCAGGAGCGTGGCTTGGCTTTTCCTCCCAAGGGTCCCTGCTGGCGCAGTATGAGAAGATGCAGATACACTGATACACTTAGAGTATTGTACTGCTGATCATTAGGGTAGCAGAAGCGCTACTTCTACTGAAACTTAATGTTGCATGCTATCCAAAAAGGGAAAAATGTTGCTGACTCTTGACTAAAAGAGGGAGCGGCTCCAAGTCCTTTAGCGTATTTCTCTGCGACATTGGGCTGCTCGTGTGTGTATACTGTAGCTTCCTTCCTGGGCCAGTGTCATCTTTCTTGAAGTAGCACCTGTGGAAGCTCTCAGTGTTGCCCAGTGCCATGCTACAGGAGCATTGCAGTGGTGAAACTGCACTTTGCCATCTTAAAAGGCAAAAGTGATTTTCCTCCTTTCCTGTGTTTAAACTTCTAGATCCTAGACACTGGTCAAAGAAAGCTGCTGAAAAATTTAACTGCTTTCTCTCCCTTTATGTTTTAGGTACAGGTGGTAGAACTAAAGGTTACTTGGATCACTAAAAGTTTTTGTCCTGGAGGTACTGACAGTGTGAGTCCTCCCCCCTCAGTAATCAGCCAGGAGAACCTGTCCAGGTGAGATGGTTTAAAAAAAACTCTTTTCTTCAGTCCTGGCTTCCAGGGCATGCACAGACTATGGGGGGCATGCACAGACTATGGGGGGCATGCACAGACTATGGGGGGCATGCACAGACTATGGGGGGCATGCCTACCAGCTGATTAGGTGCAAAGCTGCTGCCTCCAGTGATTTTTCTGCTAGCTGTGTGCCTGTATATTCCAGAGCCCCGAAAGGGTGAAGGAGTAGCTTCCAAAGTAGCTTAACAGGCACCTGAGTTACCATTACAAGGGCTGTTGTTCCACCATCCTCTCCAAGTGCTCTCCAACTGACAAGTGCATGAAGGAAAGTGGTGTCTGGAGACAGCTCACTTCCTCCTCACTGGAGGAGGCTGTGTCTTCTGTGTGTGTTCAAGAGGTAACCAAGGTGTCCTGCTCCGGACCCAGGCTGGTACTGAGGGAACATCTGGTGCCCTCTGCAGGCTGCTGCTGCAAATATGAGTTGGACAAAATTCAGGAAGTGAGGAGTGAGATGAGCAAAAGCACAATGCAGCATAGTCCTGTCTGGAGCTCCTAAGGAAGCTGGAGGAGAGGAGCGCTCAGATGACAGCAAAGAACAATGCCAACTTCAAATGCTTCTTGGCAGCCCCCTCTGGGAGGGGGGACTAGAGGGAGAATAGTGACTAGTGTCCCACCCAAACCCTTTGTATCCCCACCCAGTCCCTGGTGAGCTTTCCTGCCCCTCCTTTAGGACTGTCTTCATGGAAAAATTTGGTGTGTCATGTTAGTTTTTTGCCACCACAGAAGCAGCGCAGTCGGGGTAAGGGCACAGAATCGTTTAGGTTGGAAGGGACCTCTGGAGATCATCTAGTCCAACCTCCCTGCTCAAGCAGGGTCACCTAGAGCATATTGCCCAGGATCACATCCAGACGGGTTGATGGGCATGCCAGCCTTAGGGCCCTGGTCGCTGCCAAGTTCTGTTATTGCTTTTGTACTGTACTTACAGCTGTCCTCCCATTCTACTAGGGTAAAGCGGCTGGGGTGCTTTGACCATGCCCAAAGACAGCTTGGGGAAAGGTGCCTCTATGTGTTCCCTGACAAAGTAGAACCTGCAAAAATCACCTGTGAATGCCCAGAGAGGAACTGTGTCCTGGGTGAAGGATCAGTTGCCAAAAAGGTATGTTGAGGGGTAGAGGGAGGTATGACTTGTCTAAGCATTTCTGGTTGCTGTGGTTTTTAAAGTGGAGATCTACCTGGCAGTTATGTGGTCATGAAATGTGACTCCTGAAGTGGTGGTGGTAAAGAGTAATGGCTTCTTGTTGTCAGCAACCGAGTCACCTTGTGCAGCGCTCTCACTGCACTGGGTGAAGCATGCAGCTAATACCACAGGACCCTTGAACATAGAGGTGTTGCCTTGCAGGGCTGAAGCTCTGCTCTGACGGGGCCATTGGACGCATGTCACTTTCATTAGTGTGACCTCATATTCCTCATGGAGTTGAACTTCAGTTAAGTCCTTGCTACAGTGAGACAAGAGTCTTCACTTCCTAGGCCAAATGAGTCATGCTGTGGTTTCTGCGTACTGGCTGTAGAGCAGCCGTGTTCCTGGAATAGCAGGAGTTAGCAGTGTGGATGGTGACCTCCCGGCATAGCTCTATCTGTTATATAGATTAACCTGGGAAGCTTCTTGTGACCTTCCATAACAAAAAGTTCAGAGCATGCTTAAAATAGCCTTAAAGAGCAAAACTCAGTTTTCTTGGACTGGTACAGCAGTGCTCAAGAGCTGGCTGGTATTTGCTCCTGGGCAGAGTAGTGGTGAGATGGCTGTAAAGTGCCACCATTACCAGCATGACTCGCTTGCTTATTTGCAGAATACTCTGGTGTGGGTGAAGTATGCAGAGGCCCATGGGGAGCCACGCACCCCTTGTACAAAGCTAGCCATTCTCCTTGTCAGGCTGCCTGTTTGCCGAGCGTGGGGGCCTATTACCTGACCCAGGTCTGCTTTCCATAGGTGAGGAGGCTGCTGAAGAAGCAGATAGTGAAGATCATGTCATGCTCCCCAGAGTCTCAGGGTACCAGCGAAGCCCCTGACAAAGAGTCTGCTGCAGCTGCTGACCAAAAATCAGAGGAACTTAAGCCCGGATCAAAGTGTGAGCTGGAGGACTCTTCCAACAACGCACCAAGCGCGGGGGAGAAAAAGGAGGAGCAACCTGAAGAAACAGGGAAGGAGCAGCAGTGCGACACCAGCAGCCCCCCTTCATGCTGAAAGATGAGGGGTCATCCGACTACCGACTTCAGTCCATGGAGCAAGATGCTGATGACGAGGCAGCTGATGACACAGATGACACTAGCTCTGTCACCTCTTCTGCTAGCTCCACTGCCTCATCCCAGAGTGGCAGTGGCACGGGGCGCAAGAAGAGCATTCCTCTTTCCATCAAAAATTTGAAGCGGAAGCACAAGAAGAAGAAGACCAAGATTTCACGAGAGTTTAAGCCAGGAGACAGGTGAGCTGGATTTCCAAACCCACGTGTACTTGCCAAAACCTCCCTATTGTAAACCACCTCCCCAGCTTGGGCGGACAGTGGTGTTGGGCACTGTTAGGACGCTGCCTGGTAGCAAGCAGCAGTGATTATCTTGTGATGACTATGCAGTGGCCTGTGTGAAATGAGCTTGGTCTCAGTCCAGCTTCTGATGCAACTGGGACCACATGATGTGACACTGCTATTCTATCCCAGCTGTGCCTCAGGGTGTCAACAGAATATTTGTGTTGCGCTAGGCTCTGTGTACACAGAATGAGACAGGTGAATAAAGATCGTATAGCTTACGCATGACACTAATTGGCCTACCTTGTTGGCAGCCTCTGCAAAGAAGCTCAGAATAGACTGTGATAGTGTGAGTGGACAGTTTACTCTGAGGCCTGTCTCCAGATCATCATGGAGGTCTGTGCTGGCAGGGGTTTGTACTGCAGTGGTCTGTGCTCTATCCTTACCCAGCTCTGTAGAGGTATTTTGGCAACTTCTGCCAGCACTAGACGACTTGGTAGGGTTTCTGTTTGTTTAATGAACAAAATACGCTCCTTGAGAGCTTTGGAGGAAATCATTTCAGTAGCTTGGCGTGCAGAGCATTGCATGTATCTGCCCTGGATAGAACAGGGAATATTCTGGAGATAACTGGATCTCAGCAGCTTACACCTGTTTCCAAGTTTAGGGATGTTTGAACTGTTTACAGGGGAAGCACGGACACCTGACAGCTGGCTAGCCTGTTTTGCTGGCTTCCTTGGACTACTTAGTTGTGTATAGATCCAGCCTCAGAAACCACTAAAGCAAATAACATCTGAGAATTCTCCCAGAGAAGTGATGTTGTCAGAATTTGAGGAGGTCTGGTGATTTGAGAATGCCATGAATTTCCTTCACTATGTGTTTGATTATTTCAGCTTTGGCTATATACCAGGAGAGCTGTTTCCTTAGTCCTTGTGGGTTTTGGACAAGTTGGGTTTGAAGGTCGCAAACCTCAGCAGAGCAGTATACAAGCGTGTTGATTCTTGGTTCGCTTTCATTTCCCACTGTCCTGCTGATGAGTGCCTGTACTTTACTAAAGGTTTCGCTAAGGAGCGCCTAGCTAATAGATCTTGTAGCTTTCCGCACCAAATAGGCGGGGGGGAAGAGACCACCGTTCCTGTGTTGCACTGAGCTGCTCAGATGCAAGGAATGAAAGTTCAGCCCTTGAGAGGCTTTAGAGATGACTGTGTCACAGGGTGTAAAAAAAATTCAGGCTTTTTGGAAACAGAATATGAAAACCAGCTGACACTTTAAAGGGCATATGTGGCAGCTGGTCACAGCCCAGTATGAGGGGCCTTCACTGTTTGAATATTCAGGTGAAGCTGGTGAGACCATCAGTAGGTGTGCTGACAAACACTGCTGAGAAGTGCAGAGTGGATGGACTTGCTAGTTAGTCACCGGATCTGATGTGTCAGCTCATGGGCATCTCTAGCTGCAGGGGGTCAGCTCAGCATGTGGCTTTAGTTTCATTTAGTGACTGGCTGCAGCTCTCTGGGCAGCATGTGGACCTCTGGTTATTTTTTAATGAGGATATGTTTATTAATGCTAAGTTGTGATTTTGTTTGTGAAGCAGCATAAACTGTTCCACAGACAGGGCCACATCACTTTCTTGGGTAGCCTGCCTTCCCGCTCTCCCATCCTCAGCTGAGCATTTCCCACCAAGGAATCCATCTCTTGACATGTTGCCCACCATGACCTGTTGCAAACCTCACTTTCTGATAAGTTCTTCTGTTAAGTGCTGGCACTAATAAAAACTTTACATCAGTTTTACTTACAAATATCAATAGGAAAATATTTTTATTAAAAAAAGGCAAATATAACTGTTTTCCCCGGCCCTCTATTGTATCTTTATCTAACTTAAAACTGGCATAAATGTGGCATTTGTATTTTGTCTGGAAGGCCTAGCTAGCAAAATAAGTCAATGTTTGAAGTCAGCATGGGATTGAGTATGTGCTGTGCTGTAGGAGACATGGAAAAGGTTAAGGGTTCGTTTGAACAACCTGTCCGGCTAGCCTGCAGCTCTGTTCCACCTGGCCCCCAAGCAACTTGTCTCTTTGAACAACTGTCAAGCTCCATGGTGAAGTACCAGCATGTGGTCCATTGTTGTGCGCTTAAGATTCATCGTTGAGTCCCAGAGAGATACCTGTGTGTGTATGAACAGCTGGGAAGGAGACTTTCCCCTTTTAAACAGAATATCCTTTTACTTTACCCACATCCACTGTGTTGCCCCTTTTCCTTTCTGGAAGGGCTGAGATAGAAGATGCTGCTTTACTTTTCCTTTCCAGTCCCGTACTCCTGGCTTCAAATACTCCTCGGAACTGCCAGGCTGGAAGGCGCTTTAGTGGAAAACATTCAAAGAGCCTTGAAGCTACTGTCTTGTCTGTCCATCAGGCGTAGAAAGTGGGTGCTAGTAGTCATTTTCGTTTGCTTCACTGGGAATGGAATGAGCACAGCACCGACTCCCTGGAAAGCAAATCCTCCTGCAGCACGCCTTGGCAGCCGCGTTACTTCTGTGGTGATTGAGAACTTGTCAGAACGGAGCTTGCTGTATAGCTTTTTCCACTGAGATGACATGGGGTTTTCCTGTTCCCCAGCCTGATGACTTACCTGTGTGTTGCTGTGAAACGTTGAGGTCTATCTCGGCTCCTGGTGCTGGCAGCATCGTGTTCTGGTCGCACTCGTGCGTTTTTCCTCTGGTAACTTGTTGCCTTTGTGTTCCCAGGGTTGCTGTTGAAGTGGTGACCACAATGACTTCGGCTGACGTAATGTGGCAGGATGGCACTGTGGAGACAAACATTCGCTCCAACGAGCTGATTCCAGTACATCATCTGGACAACAATGAGTTCTGCCCTGGGGATTTTGTGGTGGACAAAAGAGGTATTGCGTGTGAAAAACATTCTCTCCTCAGGGAACAAACACTGCTTAAATGCAATGTATTCTTCAGTATGGATCTGTGATATACTTTGCAGCTCCTTTTACAGTAGCTGTTAATAGTCCTCACTTGAGGTAGGTACAAGAGCCTAACAAGGGACAGTGATTCAGGTGCCTTTACATGGATGTCAGCGAAGAGCCTTTATTTAAATGCCAAGATAGAATTATAACGAGCAAAACATGACGAGAATAAATGCTGAGGAACAAAACTAGGATTCTCAGCTTTTCTGTAACTAGAGGCAGCATGCCTTGTCCTTGGAAGTGCAAACAGCTGAGCTCCTGCCCTAGAATGGGTGGAAAAGTGTTGTTTTCTCTGTATGGCTTGCCCAGCCTGACCCTCTGTTTTTCTTGGAGCGGTTGGGGATCAAAAAGCAGCACCTCCTTGCATCCCTTTTCTTCACCAAACCAACTGGAGATGCTAGTGAGGGTCGCGGTAGTAGTCCCAGGAAAATGAGTAGATTTAGAGTTTTGAGATAGGGAATATTGATGGCACGCCATCTGATTCTCGGCTCCTCGTCTTGTAACAGGTCTAGACCCTCAGCGTGGGGAGCACTACGTACTAGAGCCAGAGGCTGGGAAGATGGAAAGCTGATTTGACAATAAAAATAGCACCTGCTGTTTAGTGTGACCGTTTCTAATGAGACTAGTAGTCTTTACTGGTGTTGCAGGTTTGGACATGGTTTATGGAAGCTAAAGTTATCTGTCACTGCAGTTCTAGTTTGGCCTCAAAAACCTGTTTTCTTCTACTCGTCTGTCAACCATACCCTCCAAGCAGAGTCTGTGATACCTGCAATTCCTCGTGTCCCTCTGCTAAGGATGCCAGGAGGTGGATCTTGTCAGCCGGATGAGTCGGAAAGCTGACTGGATACTGTTGTGCTGGATAAAAGTGCAGAAACGGAGGGGTGGTCCACACCCAGCTTTGGTGTTAGTGGATCCCCTATGCATGTATATGCAGGCGTACACCTGCATCCTGTCTGCCTTCTGTGTTTGTCCAGTGCGTTTTTCCAGTGGAACATAGTTGTTGTGGGAGGCACAGTCCTAGAGGAGGAACTTGGCAGCCAGTACCGCTCCCAAGGAGCACGTGGCCGTCCTGCCCACAAACTCTGATGCAGTCTGAGTCACTGTGGAGCTGGTTTAGAGAGCGAGCATCAAGGTGACAGCCCACCTTCCTTTGATGGTGAAGCTTACAAGTGGTCCTGAGGTGAACGTATTCACCCTGTCCAGTCAGCTTGTTTTGTCATCACTCCATGTCCCCATTTAATTATGTGACGTCTTAGCCGAGCACGGTTTTGACTCGGGGAAAAGTCAAAATTCTCCTTTGTAGGAAGAACTGTTCTTACTCGTGGCATTCACAAGCAGAGGGTTTCAGACCAGCGCTTAGGAGCTGGCAGCCTCAGTTGCTGTGTGAAGTTTGTGCTCCTCCACTTGAACTGTCTGTTTTCTTTCCTACCATTGTGACCAAAAGCTCAGAGTTCCCAGGACCCTGGTGTGTATGGAGTAGTGCAGTCTGGTGACCACATTGGCCGTACTTGCATGGTGAAGTGGTTCAAGTTGAAACCCGCTGGAGATGATGTGGAGGTAAGTGCAGTAGGCAGTGCCTCATATTCTGGGACCAGCTAGGAGAAGCAGCTGCAGAACTGCCCAGACTTCACACAGATAAACCTGGGAATTTCAGCTGCCTTTCCTTGAGGAAGGGAACAGTAATGTTCTTTGGGCCTAGGAGGCTTGCTAGAGGTGGTGTCGCCTCATATTTATAGAGGCCTCAAGACCCTGAAGACCAGTGTAAGTGGAGAGTGTGCATCACGTTATCAACAGTAGGCTCTGGTACTCATGAAGGTTTTTACTGGAGCAGTCACAAACTGTCACTGTAAGAATTTGTTCCTTCCATGTCTCTGCTAGTTGGCAGAAAGGGAATCTGTGACTTGCAGTTGTCCTGCTTGTCTCTGCAAGGCAGTATTGCCTGCAGTCAGTCTTAGTTATAGGTCACTTCCTCCCCTAATACCCTTGGAGCACTGTATTTTGCAGACTCCTGATGGACTAGTTGGAGATGTGCTGTCCCAGTTCCTCTCAAATCTGGTGCTCTGCCCTCTGCCTTGGGATGGGAGATCAGATTGTCTTAACTGAGCAGGGTCCCTTGCACCTAGAAACAGAAGATCAGTCTGGCCTGGGGTTATGTTCCTCTTTACTGCCCATTTTTAATATTTGTGACCTCCTAGTGCTTCTCCTCCAAGAGAAATCAAATGGAAGATGTTTCCTATCAAAAGACAAGCTTTTTATCAAGCTTCCTGTTACCTTGAATTGTTTCCGAAGTAAATGCTATCCTTTAGCCCTACTGAACTGTCTTTGAGAAATCAGAAGGGTATAAAATGCTGTTCTCTGTATTGTCATCTTAGCAGCATAAAACCTGAAAAAAAAGTAAGGGTGAATGGACAAGAGACAGGACAGTCTTTTTCCCTTTCGTTATTATTCCTTGTTTGACCTGCCTAATGCCTGGCACTACTGCACAGCAGCAGGTGTTTGCTATAGAATGATATGGAAAGAAGGGACATTAGTAGCTCCATGTTGCAGGCTGTTGGACCAACTGGAAATTGGCAAAACGTAACACAAAAAGCACTTTAAGTGTTGAGGGCAGACTTTGAAAATCAGTGCAGCTTCCTGGGGCTGACATGTTTGCCTTCTGTCTCCAATGTAGCTGATCGGGGAGGAGGAGGATGTGAGCGTGTATGATATTGCTGATCATCCAGACTTCCGCTTCCGCACTACTGACATTGTGATTCGCATTGGCAACTCAGAGGGAGCCACAGCTAAGGAAGATGAGGTGAGTGCTGGGCCTGCTTATGTGACCATGTCACCAGGTATTGGTGTTGGGACACATGAAAGAGTCGATGGGAGATGTATGGCTTTGGGCCCCCCACGGACATCCTGAACTCCCTAGCTTGCTAATTTTGTGTTGTAGTGTGCCCTGCTCTCCTGACTAGCATAGAAAATCTCCAAGTCTAGTGAAGATGCAACCTGGAAGTCCTTTGACTATGATGACTGGGGCTGTAAGAGAGCAAAAACAAAATTGAGACAAGAATCAAAAATGATATTTTTAATTTACTCTGAAGTCCTAAGCAGGATTTAATTCTAACATGAGGCTATCCTATGCATTCCTGAGCCAAGAGTAAAGGTTGACTTGTCTGGAGCTAGAGAAACCTGTTTCGCTTAACAACTGAAGCCTGGGCTTCTGGTTTTCATCAGACTTGCCATGTATGCGTTTGATTTGAATTGTTGACTTGATTGATCTTCTGGGGAGGAAGAGGGAGCAATTCATTTTTGAGAGAATACACTCTCTGCTAGGAAACAGGCTTCCTTAGTGTGCCTGCAAGACCTTCAGCTTTTGAGATGGTTGCCCTAGAAAAGGGTTAAAAAGTTTAGAATGGCTCTTGTTGTGGTTCTAGTTTCAGCAGTGTGAAACATATCTGTGCTTGCTCAGCTGACCCAAATAACCTTCCTACACTGGAAGACACTACTAACTGTGCGTGCCCTGTGCCAACTGTGACATGTTTGTTCACGTCTGCGCTTACTCTCTGCTGGGAAAAGTTGCTGCGAGAGCCCTTTCTGCTGGCTGGCCAAGCGCCAAGGCCCCATTCCTGGCATCCCACTCTGTGGGCCGCCCCCCCCCCCCCCCGTGGTGTTGCCTTCCAGTGAAGCCGCAGCCCTTGAATGGTTGTGGTGCTGAGCAGAAGTCAGGGTTTGCTGTCAGTCTGGCCCTTCCCAGCCCTCTCCTCTTAGAGGAGGTGGGGAGTAAATTTTCCTTGTTTCCATGGCAGTGATTCAGTGGGGATAAAACCGTGGTCTACCTTTGTTAGCTCAGATTAGCAACAAAACCGTACGCGTAGGATTCTTCTCCTCTCCCATGGGATCTCAGGACTCCTGTTGCTTCTGCTGCAGTTGGCTCTCTGGCCGAATTGCAAGCATGGGAACATTGTTAATGAGGATCCAGGTTTACAGGCCTCCAACCTGGGGAAGATCTGTTTCTCAAAACCTTCCAGCTCTGCAAGCGCCTGGGAAAGAAAGGGAACTGACAATTTGTTCTTGTTTCTACAGCCCTCAGTTGGACAGGTGGCTCGTGTGGATGTCAGCAGTAAAGTGGAAGTGGTGTGGGCCGATAACTCCAAGACCATCATTCTGCCTCAGGTGAGGTCCTGTTTCTAGCTCATGGTATCCCTGTAACTCGTCACTGAGTGACAAGTCTTGGTTTTAAATCCTGGATGCAGAGATTCGCTGGGTAAGAGAGTCTTGCTCTATTTACACCTCCCTTTCTTTGTGATGGGTAACTTCCCACTTCTGTTGGCATGTTAAAATCCTTGCTTTTGTCAGGAGGACTGAGGAACTAATTGGTCTTTGCTGCTCATGAGTTTAAAAAAAATTCTGTGCTGCCAGGAAGGTATGGCCAGAGTGTTATTCCCTTTGCTCACTGCACTGCATGCACGCAGCTCTAACCACAACCCTGTTCCTGGCCTCTAGAGCCTGCTGCTTTGCAGAGGGGTTTGCAAAGTTCAGTGATCCTCGATCCTGACTTGAGCCCAAGCTCGCTGCATTGCTCAACTAAATCACCACTGAAAAACAGCAGATTGTTCAGTCTCACTTGTGAAATGACAATGTAGTGTTTTACAAGGCTAAAGAAGCTCCCCTGAAAGCTGGGCTAGAGACACAAAATGTGACCTTAGGTAACCTAGGGTTCAGACAGTAATCTCTTCCCAACGTGGGGAGTGAAAGGAGTTGAATATAAGCTTTAAAATGTAGGTAGAATCACACTGCTAATCCACTTAACCCCATTCCTTTGCCTTCTGCGTTATTCTGTTTTCGGGGTTTTTGTTGTACTGTCTTTGAATGTTCTTCACTGCTCCACATACGCTTTAATCCTATGTCTCTTCTCCTTGTTGCCTCAAATTAAGGCAGACAGCCCAAAGACAAAAGAAAACCTTCTCTAGGGTCCCGTCTCCATCAGTGTGGCAGAGAACACTATTGCCTCTGCTACAGAAATGCATTTGTGCGTGGAAGTATTTGATCAAAATTTCTTTCTAAACCAAGCAGCTCTGCATTAATTACAGTAGAATAGTCAATGCCTGCACTATGGCAATGGGCTAGGGTGTTACAAAGCAGGCTGCTGTCTCCCTTCCCCCTGTTGTCACATGTGCTTGGATCACGGGCACAATCAGAGGTCTGATGTGCGCGCCACAAAGGGCTGTTCTCACGCTGCGGCGCTGGGGCTCTGCAGCAGCTCCTGCTGTGTCACGCCAGTCCTTTCGATTCTGCTTGTCTGCGTAATTATGGGAGTTGGGGAAATGTCAGGAGCATGAATTATCAGTTGGTAAAACCATGACTTATCAATGCTTGTCCACGTGCCCAGAGACGAGCTGTCCGAGTGCTTTTTCTCAGCTCTAAAAATAAAGATGGCATAACTGGCTAATTAACTTTCCAGTTCAGATTTGGATTAGCTTTGAGGGCAGTGAGTTTTGATGGCTTTTCCTGCCTGCAGTCACTTGTGTTGAACCCAGCTAACCCCTGTTGGCTGCCTGTCTCTGGGTAGCACAGGACTGGCTGAACAGTGCTGGTTCAGTTCAAGGCTCTGACAAGAGGACTGAGTGTCTGTGTGCTTTAGCCTCTGGGGCCAATATCATATCTGGCAAGATTAAGAGGATTCTTGGGCTGTCATTCAAGCATCAGAAGCCTGTGGATAAAATGCTCCATCTTGTAAGTTTCCTAACGCAGCCTTGCAAAGTTGTTCTTGCTTCCTTGCTTGTGTGATGGAGCTTGTAGTTGTAATGAGTGTGTTTGTGTGCCTCTACAAGGGGACCTCGGGAGAGATGTAGCCATGTGCAGAGCATGATTAGAAGAGATGGGACTAGATGGAAGGTGGGCAGGTTCAACTTTCAGGAAGTGAAAAGAAAGAGAACATTTTACCGAAGAGTGTGTTTAGCAGTTGAGTTGGGCTTCATTGTCCCAGCTGTGTTTTAGGCAACAGTGATGTACAATAGCTAAAGGAGTGTAGCAGAGCTCTGGCAATTACTCTGGGCCGCGCGAGAAGAGAGCTGATGTATGAATGTTTTCCCAGGTCCAGCATTGTCTCTGTAAGCACAGAGCATCAGTGCAGCCAAATCAGGGTTCTGCGCCAATGCAGTTGCTGGCACAGAAGCAAGACTAGAAATACTAACTCAACACACATGTAACATCTTCTAAACGAGCTCCGCATTCAGAAGTCCTCGGACATCTGTGTAGCTGATGGTGCGTGCATGTTGTCGTTGGTCGGCTGGATTCCAGTCCTGGGAGTGCTGTGGCCCACCTAGAACTGCCCTAGTTTTGCCACAGTGCCCTACTTTGAAAGGTGGAGGATGGGGCTATGCTGATTTACAATCTGCGCAAGTCATTCATGATTGCATTATTTGGATCAAACACAATCCACTCGGGATAGATGGGGATTGAAACAGCCCAACAAATTCCAGCTGGTAGTCCCCTTTTCATGGGGAGAACTGACTTGTCCTCATTTACAAACAACTAAAAATCTGTACTTAAGTCATAAATACATTGGTGTCTTTTCTACCTTTGGTCTCCTTTAGCACTTATACAACATTGAATCAGAGATTGAGGAGTCGGACTATGATTCTGTCGATGGCAGCACCAGTGGGGCATCCTCTGAGTGGGAGGATGAAAGCGACAGCTGGGAGACAGACAATGGCCTCATGGAAGATGACCACCCAAGAATTGAGGATTTGGAGCCGGAGGAGCCGGCAGCAGAAGAGGTGAAAAAGGTAGAGGAACAAGTCCAGGGAGCTGTGGCTATGGCAGTTGCAGATCTTGCTGCAGAGAAAGCTGGTAAGGACGGAGCCCCCAAGAGCTTCCGGGAGCTAAAAGAGGCCATCAAGATCTTGGAAAGCCTGAAAAATATGACTGTGGAGCAGCTGCTGACTGGCTCTCCCACCTCCCCAACTGTGGAGCTGGAAAAACCCACTCGGGAGAAGAAGTTCTTGGATGACATTAAAAAGCTGCAGGAAAATCTGAAGAAGACCTTGGATAACGTGGCTATTGCAGAGGAGGAAAAGATGGAAGCCATGGTGGAGACAGAGAAGAAGGAAGAAAAAGCAGAGGCACAGACACCGGTGAGGTCAGAGTGGCCCAGTGAGACACCAGTGCTCTGTCAGCAGAGCGGGGGCAAGCCTGGAGTCACCTTCACCAGTGCCAAGGGAGAGGTCTTCTCTGTGCTGGAGTATGCTCCAGGTGAGTGTCTGTGTGCAGCGTTTCTCCTTCTACAAAACCTTTGCTTCTAGGCCTTTTGGACTGGACGTCTGGTGGTCTTTCCAGTCTTTCTCCCAGTTTATTAACTGGGGAGGAGAAATTCAAGACAGCTTCTCTGTGGCACAGTTTGTTCTGGGACCTAAACCTGGCTTTTAGGAGGCATCTCTAAACACTACCGCTATTTCTCAAGCTACAGAACCAGATTTCCCTTTTGTGTACTTTGGAAAGAGCTTTGATGGGCTTCTGAGATAAGTTGTTTTCCATTGCAGATATTTTCTTTAAAGCTACAGTGTTTGTCCAGGCTTTTCTGCAGGGATGGGTTGGTTGAGAAGCAGAACAGCTGGTGTTCTTGGGCTGGGTGTCCTTTGTGAGCGAGTGTCCTTGTCCACTTGTGCCAATGTTAATCAGCCAAAAATAAAAAAGCGTGTCTGTTTGTGTGGAACGCTGGCACCTTGCAAGAGCCCAAGGTGCTTGCAAGCCAGCCATCTAGGCCAAACTTCAGGGAAAGGTGACCAAGCTGTTCTGAACCTGCAGGTGTGTATAAATAGAAATGGGAGCTGCATTCCGGTTTTGCAGAGAAAGGGTCATCACTGTGTGATGCATCATTGTCGCAGGTGTGGGACAAGGTGCTTTGTGGGGCACAGGGACAATATCGTGTGGAGCCATGAGAACAGAAGATGCAAGTTGTGGCTGCTGTACAGTGTGGGAAAAATCAAGCAGTCTCTAGACTGTCTCCCGGCTTAGCACTGGAGCAAGTTTAATTGGTCTGGGATGACACAGGAGCTGGGACAGCTTGAGGAGTTGTGGGGTTTCCTGTTGGTACAAGAGTCAGTCTTCAACGAGATACTTCTGAAGCTTCTCTTGCTGGTACTCCCCAACTCTTCTCTTCCCAGTGATGCGTTTAATAATGTGTGGGGGGAAAAAAATTGCATTCGGAAAGCCTGTGGCAGTTTCCAGAGGCAGGCTTCAATCCCTTTCTGTTCCTTGCCCCACAGATACCCATGCCTTCAAGAAAATGGAGTTCCAGCCCCCAGAAGCGAAGAAGTTCTTTAGCACCGTGCGGAAAGAGATGGCTCTCCTGGCCACCTCCCTACCTGATGGCATCATGGTCAAAACCTTTGAGGACCGAATGGCAAGTGTTTGCACTCAAATGCTTGTGTGTTGGTGCTGGGCTCTGCAGACTGGTGGCTTTCAGTAGAATTCCCTGCTTAGCCTTAATCCCTTGCACTGGAGTTGCAGGAACACGTGCAGCCTGTTAAATAAGGCTCTAGTTATCATAAAGGGCTGCTCTCACGTTCCCCAAATCGGGGTGGCAAACACAGAGCTCCTCATGGCAAGGAGCCTGTTACAGGTGTTTAGCCCCCTGGGCTTCATGTCTTGCTGGAGCAGGAAAGGCAAGTGGGCAGCCAGCAGAGTATGGTGTAAACAGTGGGTAGAGTGGTGGGGGTTGGCCATCCTCTGAAGCCCTGCTTCAGACCCAGAGGCTGGGTCCGCCCTGGGGCTGTGGCAGAAACGTAGCTCCTTCTAAGGGGAAAATGCCCATAGATGTGGTGTTTGAGCTGGCCCCTGCAGGTCCCCGGTGAGAGTTGTTAATTGTAGCCCCTCCTGCCCTTTCTCTGCAAATTCAACCCTGCCATGGTAAGAGGGCATTCATAGTGCCTAGTAGTTTATGTTGCTTCTCTCTGCAGGATCTCTTCTCAGCACTTATAAAAGGGCCCACGCGCACACCCTATGAAGATGGCCTCTTTCTCTTCGATATCCAGCTCCCCAACATCTACCCTGCTGTCCCACCTCTCTTCCGCTACCTCTCCCAGTGTAGTGGGAGACTGAATCCCAACCTGTATGACAATGGCAAAGTGTGCGTCAGCCTCCTGGGGACATGGATAGGCAAGGTAATGCTGGCTTTGTTCCTCTGCAGGAAACTGTTGCTGTGCCAGGCCAGCTTTCAGAATAAGCCACTTCCTACCAGGCCAAAAGTCCTAGGTGACTTCTGCTCTCAGATTGTGCTTGAACTGGGAGGGGGGCTTAGGCTTTGGGCTCTGTTTCAGATATCTGAAGTAGATAACTAGCATATTTAGGCTTCCTCTGGAATTGTGTTTGGCCGTTGCCTGTCCTATCTTGATGAAGCTGCCTGTAGTCAACCAGCCAGACTGTGTAATGGCTGGCAGAGCTGAGAGGGAGCAGAGATGCCAGCACAAATATGGGATGTTCTCTCATGGTTTAGGTCCCCGTCACCCAGACTTTGTGCCACACTGCAGGCCTCATCTAAAGCCCCGCTGGAGACAGGAATAAGCAGAGCTGGTGAAATAGTGTGCGTCTTGGATGGACAGATTGGGGTAGCTCGGGGCAAGGGGGGAGACGGGACTGGAACTAGTGTCTGACGCTATAGGCTTACAGCGTTGCAGGCACAACTGGCATACGGTGAGCGCAGGGCTGGACTAGCAGAAGGTGTCGGAGAGTTGGGTTGATACAATAGGGACACGAGCGTGTCACGTGCTTGTGGAGTCGGTCCCTTGTTCCTTCTGTGTACTGCAAGACCTTAGTGATAGGGGTATGCAGAGAGAGACCTGAAACTCCCATCTGTGTCTGCTGAGCCTAGAGATTAGGACCTGCCTTCATCCAGCACTTAACACACAGCAAACGGGTGCTGCTTCAGCCCTTTGTGACTCATTTGTATATGTGTTTCAGGGGACAGAAAGGTGGACTAGTAAATCCAGCCTCCTTCAAGTACTCATCTCCATCCAAGGTAAATGCTCCTGCAGAGCCGGCAGGACAGGAAGAGCCAGGGGAAAGAGGGGATACAGGCCGAAGTGCGTGGGGTGGGGGTGGGGGCAATTGGGGTCTGTAACCCCCTGTGCACAAGGTGGTGCCAGCTGTGCTCTCACCTTGCTGGACAAAGCAGCATCCTCTCCATATCTCTCCAAGTCAGCAGTCCAAGCAAGTGGAAGCTTTTCTCATGCCCTGATTCTTGGCTGCATCCCAGGTCTCTGACACAATGCTTTACCTTCTCGCTGCTAACCACAGAGCTGTTTTGCTTGTTATTCTGAGCTGACAAAGGTGAACCACTATGCCCTCAGCCAGTTACCAAAGTTAGAGAGTTGAAGTTGCTGCTAAACCGGGCTTCCTTTGAAGCTGTTTTTATCCGGAGTCACCCACTCATCCTACACTGGGTGTATTTTTGCCCATGATGCTGGTGTTTACACTGCTTCTGAAGCTGAATAATCAGAGGTGTGTCTAGACCTGCTCCAGGGCTTCCTGCCTGAGGAGTTTTGCCCTGCCACAGTCTGGTTTGACAGCAGGCAGGCAAAATGAAGTATTCTCCCCAAGGCCACCTTTCTATCCAGACAGTCCAGGAATGTGACTTGGGAAACCCTTGACACAGACCAAGGGCTCCTGCCTTGAATCAGCAGGCCACTCCTGGTCTGCTGAAGTCTCACAGCCTACCTGTATCCTCCTTTTGAGAGACAACACCATGAGAAATGCCTTTTCTCATTTATGAAGCTGAGGATCCAAATTTAGAAGGTGAAATGCTGAGTGCTTTACTGGAGCACCTTGGTGCTGGTGACAAATTATTCTCTCCCCCTCCTGCTGCCTGGACTCTTGAGACTCATGATCTCCTTTCTGCTAGCTCTAATGCAGTTTGTGGCAGGCTGCCAGCAGCCTGGCAGCACTGGTGCTGTTGCTACATACATGTAATTACGTGAAGCCAGAAACAGGCAGGAGGAAGTGGGTGGCTTGTCACCAAATTCACTGTATCTTGCTACTGCTTTGTCTGAGGGGCCTATGCTGGTAAAAGCAGTAGGACCAGATCCAAACCAGTGACCTAGGTTTGGCCTCCTGATTAAGAGGAGAAGGGTCGTATTTAAGGAGGAGGAAAAAGCCTTGGGTGTGTTTAGTTATATCTTGCTTGTAACTTTTTTGATGGTTGTTTTGAGGAGAGTGAGCTACAAAATCTTTCTCCTTCCCTTCCTCTTGACTTCCTGTGCTCTGTTGTGTGCCCTCTGCATCATGCTGGTGGAAGCCTGTGCTTGCCAGCCAAGGATCTTGCATGCTGGTGCCCCTGGCAGGGTCTAGGAGAATCCAGCCCCTAGCAGAAGGCCACAGACCCATTCAGACAAGTGCTCCCCATGTGATATCAGTCCAGTGCATCTTGCAGAAGATTCCCGTTTGTCTAGCTTGGCCTCTAACCGCTTGAAGTCAAAGTGCAGCTTCCCTGCAACATGATCTCCTGCAGTGCCTTGTCTGTGCTCTCAGAGACAGTGGCATGACCCTTGAACCTCAAACATGTTAGCAAAAATCAAGGCCCAGCAGTTTCTACTGTGAATGATGATTCACAGCAAAGTTCCTCCTTTAACCTGTTGCTCTCCCTTTTTTCTGGCAGGTCTTATCCTAGTGAATGAGCCCTATTACAACGAGGCAGGGTTTGACAGTGACCGTGGCCTTCAGGAGGGCTATGAGAACAGCCGCTGCTACAATGAGATGACCCTGATCCGGGTGGTGCAGTCGATGATGCAGCTGCTGCGCAGACCAGTGGAAGTCTTTGAGCATGAAATCCGCGAGCATTTTCGCTGCAACGGTTGGCGCCTGGTGTCCCGCATTGAGTCCTGGCTGGAGACAAACGAGCTGGTAGAGCGGAGCCACGAACAGGCCAACGGGGCAGATTCCACCTCCCTCCTTTCTGCTTGCGGCACCCTGTCTGAGAGCCCAGGAGACAATGCGGAGTTACTGGGGGAATACGGCAGCTCTTCGGAGCAGGGGGCAGCAGCAGAGTTTTCCGACTCAGCACTCGATGGGAAGGAGGAGCTGGATGAGTCAGAGTTCACAACCTCGACGCCCAGCGCCGGTGATCTCCACCAGTACTCAGACTCGGAGAGCACAGGCCAAGCCAGGGAGGTAGACCTGGCCAGAGACCGAACGGACGAGGGGAAGGCTGCCCAGGACTCTGCCTTGCAGCCTAGTGTGAAACCAAAGAAAAGGAGGAAGAGCTACAGGAGTTTCCTTCCGGAGAAGAGTGGTTACCCTGATATTGGGTTCCCCCTCTTCCCTTTGTCCAAGGGGTTCATTAAAAGCATCCGTGGTGTCTTGCAGCAGTACCGGGCTGCCTTAGCAGGGGCCAATATCCCAGAGTGGACAGAGGACAAATAAACCATCAGGTTAGGGACAGGCAGGTGCAGGGGAGAAGGGAAAGCAGCAGAAAGGAAATTGGCAAACGCTGTTACCAGTAAACTGGCTTCTCCTTCCAGCTTTTCTTCCTCAGCTTGGTTTGTTCCAAAGAAGTTGGTAGGCCTGATTTGCTCCTCAAAGGAAAGGTTATCTAAGCATGAATAACTCTTTGCCCCCAGCCCTTCTTCCTTCTCCACTGTCCCTTGTACATGCTCCTCTTGCGAGTTTGATCCTGCAATGGTAAGATTTGAGACCTGCACAGAAGCAGTCTTGCAGCCACATTCCCTCTGCACTTTCATCTTGGGGCACCTTCCACACAAAGACTCTTCCCACCCAGCGCTACAGCCAACAACTTGTTCTGTTGGGGTTCAAGCCAGGAGAAGTGATTGGTGTAGTATCTGGAGATGAAGGGCAATGCCCTCCCAATATTTCATTTTTCTCTGCATTGCCATGGGTTTTATGAAGCCTACCCCAGCTTATATGTACTTAGACATTGGATTGTGTTTGCATTGAAGTTGTCTCCACCATACAGAGTTGCTGTAGTCTTAGTTGTTCACTGATAGCTACAAGGTTCTTTGATCAGGACTTGACGTGCAGAGCCGGAGCTCTGTGCTAGTATTTGTTCAGCCTTGGTAGTGCTGCGGGGTTTCCATCTAGTTCTGTGTCTTCTGGTCTGTCTTCTGGAAGCAATTCTAGGCA